CCATGGCACTAACTCCCCAGAGATTCCGGGCGGATGCCTTCGACCGCGTGCGTCAGATCGGTGAGCTCCGAGCTCGCCTTCGCGACAAGCGGGGCGAGCTTGAAAGGTAAGATTGTTTAGAGCTGGTGGCGGATAGTGGAAGGTCGTGGTGTGGTAGCCTGTTCCAGAAGGACATACCGGTGGTGCCTGAGAACTTCGATCCTGTCATTCCAGGCGAACATCGGATGATATATTGTTGGAAGGCTATTGTTCTGTGCGGGCACTGATCTATACCTCCCGTGTGCACGTCGCCAACATACAAGTTATCGTTCACAAGTGCATCCCCTCGTCACGTCCAGCGCCGAGGAAGACAAGAGGGAGCTGGACGTGGAGATCAGCAACAAGAAGGCCACAAGAGACACGGTACGAAACAGCCGAGAACGACGGCCTCCGGCTTGCCCGGTGCCCCGGAATGCTTGTTTAGATGAAAATACTGTCGCCAAATACACACAGTAGACGTTCCCCTCGGGGGTTCAGGCTGGGTGTTCATCATCTCTACACTCGCGTGTTTTGGTGTCATTGTGACGAAGGTGAAGGCCGAAGTGACATCGCAGCTGGAGGCAGTCGCCCTCTCTTGCTCGAAGGTTGACGACATCGATCGTGAGAACAAGTCCTTGCTGGCGAGAGCGAAGAGAGTGGAGGGAGAGGTGACGATATCCCAGTTTTGGAGAGAGGGAACGAAAATACAAAGAATTGTCGTGTTTGAGAAGCAGGGATGAACAAGGAAATAATACGTTTGTGTTCGTTCTGTGTGATGGGTGACAAGTGCACGTCATTTCATAAAGTCACCAACAGAACTGCCAACGAGTTGGTTGGTTGTTTCCCGTGCCTACTATCGAGAAAGACCATGCAATCAGAGTAGATAGCACAATTCCTTTACATCATGAGATCGGACAAATCATTCCCGTACCGGCGCAGTGGAAAATTGTATTCAGCCTCCGCTCTTGCCTTGTCTTGGTCTTGCCATGCCGGTGTGCAGTAGAGCACTGCCTAACTTCGCTCAGGTCAGCTGAACACTACCGCTCATTGCTGCGAAATAGCCTCTTGCTCAATCAGTTCCGTACGAGAGACATGAAAATGGTTCATACCTCGCGCCCGCGGGAAGTGGTTAGTCGTATCATTTGTTGGGAGTGGTATTTAGCTTCACACACGAACGAGAACATGGAAAAACCACCTTTCAACGAGACCAATGACCCGGTTTCACCAACAACAGATCGACGAGATCAGGGAAGCCCAGGAGGAGATGCAGGAAATGGCGGTTGGTCTCCAAAGAAAGAATGCAATCCTCAGGCATGAGCTCCGCCATCTCAAGCGCGAACTCGAAGGAGGCAATCCTGCACAGTCACACATGGTATCTTCCCGCGACCAAGGTCGCAACAGCAACAACAACAATGCTCACCGCATTGGAAACGGAAGGTACAGAGTGAATGGCGGTTGGTCTCTGTGTTGTTAGTGCTGGTAGCGGAAGTTACAGACTGCCGGGTGTGGCTTTGTGTTGGTGTTCGTGTTGGCGATGACTCCGGGATGCACTAATCGTGTAACCTCATTGGGGGACAAAAATTGAGGGAACACAACGCAATGAAACGGTGCCTGCCGATATGGCGACCCATGACACAGTTTTATGGCACCTGTTCCAAATAAATATCTGCTCGAACACTATTCATAGCGTGTGCTGTGATGTGGTACGATATGAATACTTGTGCTTGTCTGCACCCTCGGCGTCTCAGTCAAAGGTCGTCGTCGGGAGGAAATTTTCACCAAGGAAACGGAGTAGGAGGAAAACACGGAAGCCAGTTCTACCACCATAGCGCCGCTCCCCAGCATGGCGAAGGAAGGCAAGATTTTAACCACACGCCTTGAGTACGACAATTTGGCCCACAAGAGACAACGCCTGAGTATCAGTCGACTGGCGGTTGGGACTGGCCGTGACAGTCGAGTATTTTTCCTGTTCGTGCGAAAGGCAGGTTGGCTCTCCACCAGCCTGAAATGGCCACTCACCGAGGCAGGCAATGGCTTCATGGTAACTAGTAGTCTACTCGCAATATTTGACCGGTTCCAAGTACGCACAAGTAAAGGTTGAGTGCAGAAGTGGGATAAGGCTGTCTTCGCCGAACTGGCTTTGGAAATTCTTTGATTCACCACCTTGGAAAAAATGTTCGTGACTGTCGGTCTTGCCAATAACATGATCGTCAGTTTCACTCGGCCGAATAAAAAATATCCAGGAACGTACCAGCGCTCCAGCTCGATGGTTCGCCCTACCAGCAGCAATACCGTCAGAACATCATCCACAGCAACGCCATCAACAGCGGAACAAGCAGCAACAAAGTCAGAGCTCCGTTTACTACTGCATCGTCGGCTATGGGCATGCCCGAGCTCCGCCTCTCCAGCCCCCACCCCAGGGGAAGAGAGGCCAACAGAAGGAAGCAAGCTCAAGCTCGTTCGTCCAACAGGGGGCGTGGTGAAGGAAAGAGGACTGACTCTGCTATACCCGTCGACTCTGATGACGAGGATGCTTTTGAGTACCATGCTTGACAATATGACAATTTGTATGGCTACGCCGCCACATGTAGTGGAACCGGTTGTACTTCGTGAGGTACACTCCACGGTTGGTTTACCCTGACAACCACAGATTCCACGGTCTACAGTCCCTTTCGAGCGCCCGTGCAACGCCATTGGGTAGCCCATGCTCGACCGATCACAAAAGAGCGATAATTCGTGAGTCCCTCAACGGGGGTTCGGGGACTAGGGGCGCTGAGAAGCCGCTTGGGTTCCATTTCGTGGAAGGTCGACCTCTGGGCGATTTCTACATGGCGCCGCAAAAAACATTTCGAGAGACGACTTCTTCATTCTTCACAATGTAGGTACCTGGGTGTACGCGAGCGGGCGGCAGTGGTACCCAAGGAAAAAGCTGCGTACAAACACATGGAAGCTTTGTGGATCAGCCTCAGCGAGATAAAGGGATTCACCGTGTCCATTATAGTCACGTTTTTGTCTCGAACGATAGTAGCTCCTGGCGAAGGCTCCTGACCGGCCAGCGGTATCATCCGCAATCCACAGGTCAAGTTTCCGCCTGTGCAGATTTCTGAGATAGATGAAGTCGCGTGCGTCTCAAACCATCCACGGGTCGTCCTTTTACAGGCACCTTCAAGGACATACGCACACCCGATTTCTGAAGGCGTAGTCTCTACTTTCAAATATTTTGTTGACGTTTGAGCCATTCTTCTCAACGGAAATGGTCTAATCTGCCGGTAGTCCCTTATGTTTGACTCTCCAGCACAAGAGGCTGCTTGTCTTCGTAACTGCCGTTTTTAGCGCAATTACAGCACCCCCCCCTCTGTAACGTGCATGATCATGAACGACTACGTGCTTTCACTTCTACACGGCTGGACTGATTAAATAAACCACACATCAAGAGAAAACAAAAGAGCAAGGGCGCAGAAAGCCACCGATATCAGCCCAATCAAAATCGCTGATGTCGGCCGGGGAGCCCTTGCCGGAGGTGGCTTCTTCCGAAGCTCATCCACCTGGGAACTCGACTTAAAACCTTCCGCTAAAACGCCTCAGCCCGTTTCCTCGCTCTCCTCGTCACCACCCTCGTCTAAAAACTCCTTGTCATATTTTGGTCCGCCTGGTCCGTAGAGACCTCTGGTGTAGGCCTTGGGGTCAACGGATATGATCACCTGCAACAGGCAAGATTCCCGCACGTGGCCATGGAAGCGTACAAAGCCAAGACATAAATATGGTGGATTACGGCGATCACAGCCCCAACGTACCAATGTGTGGACATGATTCATAGATGGTGCGTGTGTTGGTTCCATCTATTTCCGGGGGCTATCTACACACTTTTCGGTGCGATTCACGTATCCGCCGGGGTCACCAGGGAGGAAGGCCACACAGGATCCAACGGTTCATAGGTTTTCTCAGTTTCATCATTCCTCCGGCGGTGCTTGCCTTAGTTTAGATGGCGAGAAGAAATCAGTCGTCGCATTCGTAGTCGCCTCAAGTCGGAGAGTGCTACTCATGGCATACTTCTTTGATATCCGCCGCGAAAAACATCATTATTCGTTGCTGTTTCACCCCGAGGCGACCCCATTTTGTTGCCAAATTCACTCCGGGATATTCTCCGAGTGACCGACTTACCCCGTGGCGCAATACAATAGTAACGCGATTATCCCGCAAGAGAGCTGTGTTCAGCGCAGACGTGTTAGTCGGGTCGGTGCCAATTGCGTTCGTTGCTGGGGTGTGCCAAAGTCGCGTTTCCGTCCAGAACTGAGCTATAAATAATCGCGGCATGCGTAGTGGGTCGAGCGTCGGGTCCACTCTCTGCTGTACACACCGGATTTGAAAAGATTGCATCGTGCTGGCTCACGGCAACCCAACCGGAGTTAGTCGCTTTCACTGACTGTTGGTGTGAAGAAAAGGAAAATAAAATGAGTTTCTAATCATGGTTTCCCAGGTGTGATAGCCCAAAAACCGCAGACAAAAAACGGATGAATTGGACTAGAACCCCAAAAACACTTTTATGGGCGATATATGTATCCCCACCACCCAGGGTGTGTAGGCGCTTACTAAAACCGCACTCTCAGGGCACCCCGTGAACTCAAGACGATCGATTTAAGATCATTTCAATAGAACACAACA